GGTGACAACCTGATTTGGAGAGGAAAAAAAAGGATTTTGTGTAGTGGATTCTGGTTTTTGCCATTCCTGTAGGATATTTTTTCTAAGCAGTGCCTGTTTCCTTGATCTTTATGGCAGATGGGAGTCACACAGTAACGGGGGTTCATTTACTCACCGCTGTAATTTATCAAGGCCCCGAGTGGTGCCTCCTATTTATGGTTTGGATTTCCAGGGATTCTGAAGGGCTTTAATTTTCACTTGGTTTTGTGAACAGGCCTGTTCTGAGGATTACAAGAGGCTTCCCACAGGGGCTGTGAAGCTCATTCCATGCTCCAAACCAGAGCTGGCGAGGGCAGGATCCCACTGAGCCCTGTGAGCCTGGACTCGGGGTTTGCTGGAGGGTTTTCCTGGCTGTTGATCCAAGCAGAAGGCTGTGATCCCTGCCTGGCTCCATAGGCTGCCCTGAGTGGGATTTAAAGTCACAGTCTGCTTAATTTCAGCTGTTCTTGCCCCTTGCCAAGCTCAGACCATAAGGGGGGGGTTTGGGATGGAATGAGCCAGCTCTCGAGTTGGTCTTTGAACTTCAGGCTCGTGTGGCATTTGCAGTGGAAGTGCTGGGGTCCAGCCCTGCTGTGTGAGCATGGACATGGTGCTGCTCCACTGATCCTTGCAAAATAGATATTGGAGAGCAAAAAAACATCGTTCCCTGCTCGGGGCAGCAGCAGAAGGTGGTTTCAGGCCAGGGAAGGGGGCAAAACCAGATTTCAGACCAGGGAAAGTGAAGCAGCTTCCAAAGCAGGAGCATCTCCTGGGTAAAGCTGTCATTTTTGAAGTTATTTCTGGATTTTGTACATTGTCCTCGTCCAGGACTGTGGTGTCAGGGCTGGTTTGGATCTGGCAGCACAGAGCTGCATCCAGGTGCCCCAGGACCATCCCATATCTCCCCTGGGCTGCCTCGATGGCAGCACCTCCCTCCTGCGCCAGCAGAGCTCTCTCTCACCCTTGCCAAGGAGAAGAGCTCCCTGAAAAGTGCAGCACTTGGCACTTTTTGGGCGAGTCCAAAGGCAGGACACGCTCCTGGAACCCCGAGCTCCCCAGGGATGCACCATCTCACGTCCCCCTGGGGCTGCAGGGCTTCAACCTCCCCAGGAACGTCCCAGCACGGAGTGGGAGCATGCAGAGCTTTCCATGCTGAGGGGGAGCAGATGGATCAGTGCTGGGCCTCATCCCAAAGCCCATCCCAAGCAATTCCTGCGCTCCTGTGGATTGGAGCAGACGGGAACACTGTCACTGTCCTCCTGGCTCAACCAGACGGAACATCTTGTGCTGTTCTGCAGCTCTGCTGATGGGGCACTGGAGTGAAATTAAAGTAGGAATAAAACCCAGGCTATGACAGCAGGATCCACACATCCCAGTCCCCTCCATGTGCTGGGGATGAGCAGGGGGGGACCTGGGGACCTCGGGCCAAGTGTGAAGGTGTGGGAGGCTCTCTGGGAGCAGCGTGTCCCTGTCTCTGCTCCCTTGGCTGACGTGCTCTTTGCCAGCTTTTCTTGAGCTCTGGGAGTCTCTCCTTGGCTGCTCCAGTCAGTGCTGCAGCTGTCAGGTCACCCTGGGTCACCTCTGCCTGCCTGAGGTGCCCTGACATGGCTCTGTGCCCACAGAGCTTTGTTCTGCTCCCCTTCCCATGGTCCTTCCCTCTGCACCAACTCCATTTTTCTGTGGTGTTCCCTACTTTGCCCTGCTCCCCTGTGGTCTTTCCCTCAGCACTGACCTCTCCTTGCTGTGATGTTCCCTCTTGGCCTTCCCTTTCCAAGTTTGCCCTGGTCAGGTGTGGATGTGAGCTGTGCTGTGTAAGGAGACCTGTGGACATCGTGCTCTTGCCAAACACATCCTGCAGCCGTCTGGCAGCAGCCCCTGCAGTGTCTGCAGTGACCCTCCAGCACAGTTATTGCTTTCAGCTTGGAGGGTTTGAAGGGCTTTTTTTTCTTTCCTTGGAAAACAAGCAGGGAGGAAAATGGCTTTGTAAGGAGCTGAGAGGTGTGGAGCTGATCCCCGAGTTAGCTCAGGATTAGTCTGATCCCTGGGTAAATGCTTTATCAGGACAAAGTGTCTTGAATTGCAAAGCCAAGGAAGCCCAAGAGAGGCAAAATCCCTTTGTTTAGGTTAAATAGAAGCATTTTCCTGACAGTGGCTGAAATTGGTCATTTTTCTCTGCCTTTGTTCTGCCAAGAGGTGCCCAATGAACCCCCAGCCTGGTGCCTTCTCCACGGGAGCTCTCCAGACAACAGGGTCGTGTGGAGCCTCTCCAGCTCTGTCACCGCTTGGAAGGGGGACTGACAGCTGCTGAAATCCTTGGAAAAAACCCCTCTGACATGGAAAGGTTTTACTGTGGGACATGGACACGTTCCTTTCACCTTCTTTCACATCCTAAGCTTTGGCCTTGCAGAGTGGTGGCCCGTGGTAAATCCTTCAGTCACTCGGGGTTACCTGGGAATGATTTAGAGGGGATATTGGGAAGAAATTGTTCCCTGTGAGGGTGGGGAGGCCCTGGCACAGGTTGCCCACAGAAGCTGTGGCTGCCCCTGGATCCCTGGAAGTGTCCCAGGCCAGGTTGGATGGGGCTTGGAGCAAGCTGGGCTAGTGGAAGGTGTCCCTGCCCATGGCAGGGGATGGAATGGAAGGAGATGGGCTTTAAGGTCCTTTCCAACCCAACCCATTCCATGATTTTATGGCTCTGCTTCTCTCTGCCTCGCTCACAGTGGTGCCAAGAACCAGGAACTCCCCAGGGCTGTTTGTTTTTCCAGCTGATGCCTGAGCCTGCAGTGGTAAGAGCTGCTCTCCCATTCCCACCTCCAGTGACCTCATGTCCCAGTCAGGCATTTCCAGAGCCTCCAGCACAGCCTGTCTCTAAGTGGCTGACGTGGAAGCATTAACCTTTCTCTTTTTGTGTCTTTTCTCACCTGAAGAAGCCACTCAGGCTATTTATAATTTGAGTTTGTGCAGAACACCCAGGAGAGGGGCTGAAGGAGGGCTGAGCTGGGAGCTGGGAGTGTGGGCACACTTGGCACTGAGCTCTCTGTGCTTGGTTTCCACGTGGATCCTTGTGAATCTGCTCATTTACCTGCAGAGCAGGGTCCTTTTGAGGTGTGACACCTTTGAAAGAGGCTGAACCTGTGCTGTGGCAGCAGTGAAGTCATTGTGGGATCTTGGCAGGCTTTTTGAAATTCAGTATTTGAAACAAAACACAGCACTGGGCCAAAAGCATCACACGGTAGCTGCTGCATATAATTAGAGGTTTTCCAAGCATCCAAGGTGGTGGGATGTGCTGTGTCTGCACTGCCCATGACTCCAAACTTCCTTGGCCGTGCTTTGCCATGGGATGCTCCGGGATCAGCAGCCCCTCGGTTGGTTTGTGGTGCTGCTGCTTGTCCTGCCCCAGCTCTCATGGGCTCTCCTGGGACGTGGGGCCATGGAACAGCCCGTGGCCAGAGGCTGCTGTGTCCCTCCTCCTCCCTGTGCTGGTGAGTCCCCCCGTGCTGCAGCTTCCACCCCGGGCTGCTGCTCCCCCTCCGGCTCCGCAGCTCACTACGCACCATCTGTGAGGCTGATTCCCCTCATTTGTCTCCACGTGGATGTGAGTTGTGCTTCCATTAGCTGTGGCTTTCTCATTCCACGAGTCCCACCTGGCAGCAGGGAAGGTGTTGTGGCTTTTCCCCCCGGTCAGAGCTGTTTTTGTTGTCACACAAATGAGTGTTATAACGAGTCACGATGAGTTATGAAAAAGGGCTCTTTGCCCTTTGGCTTTTGCTCTCTGGACAAGTCACACTTGAAAAGGAAGCTCTGGGAAGAGCAGTGCCAGCCCCATTGGTGTGGAGCTTCACGACATGCCCGGAGCTGAACTGCACACAGCCATGAGATGTCTTTAAAAGGATCTGCCTCCCAAAGTTTGGCAGAGCAGAGCCCTCCAGAGCCACCACCACGGGCACCCCCCACCCTGCAGGGCTCAGCCCCTGCCCTGGGTGCTCAGCCATGTCCCAGGGGGGTGGTTTTGGGGCAGAGGGAGCCCTTTGCATGAGTGTGTGACTCCCCCCCAGGCCCTGTGTGTTCCCCACGTGCCGTGGTCCCTCTGGAGTTATCACCAGAGGTGGGATTTGGGGCACACATTGGGATCTCCTTGCCCTGTAACCCTGTTCATAGGGCTGCTGGCTGCTCTGTTTCCATGCTGAGCCTTGGCACAAGCCTTGGATCAAGGCTCTGAGGAGCTGTTGAGTGTTCAGTTCGTGCTCAGCCTGGACTCGATGCAAATCCGTGATTATCCAAGTTAGTGCTGCTTTTTATGGTGTGTTTCCAAGGCAACTGGAAACTCAGAAGACCACAAACACACACACACATATACACACACGTCCTCTTCATCTGAGACCTCATCCTGTGGGACACAGGGAACACTCCAGTGACACTGGTGGAGTTTGGGTTTCCTTTGCTTTGGGGACTGTCCCCAACAGGTGTTGTGTCATTTTGGGGCACAGGGAGACCAGAAAGCAGGGAGGGGACATTGCTGGAAGCCTGATCCTGGCTTAGCCCAGCTCCTGGGGGGTTTATGGGAGAAACTGATGGTTGTTCTTCTGGAATCCACCATGGCACCAGTTCTGCAGAGAGGTTTGCTGAGCCTGAACCTTTTTGAACAGATTCGGTGGTTTGTGCTGTTTTGCTCCTTGTTAAAATCCCATTTCAGCTGGTGGGGATTGGGATCTTCTGCCCTTTGGTGCACTCATCAGTCCAGAACCCTTTTCTCTCCTTGTTGGCTTTCCAAGAAACAGCTGGTTTGTGTTCCTGGTGGGGAATACCCTGGGCAGTGACACTGAGCTTGGATTAAATGCACCTGGATTTAAACGAGCAGGGAACCCACCTGGCCTGGGATCCTCTCCCTGCTCCCACCAGTCCTGGCTCTGATGGAGCACAGGAGGAGGGGTGGTCTCAGGGCTGCTGTAGGGTTTGGCCTTACTGTTTTTTTCCTGTTTCAGAGGGTCTGGCAGTGGGAGTTGGATTCGGGGCTATTGGAAAATCCGCATCTGCAACATTCCAAAGTGCCAGGTAAGACACTGTTCCTTCGCCTCTTGGAGCCTGTCTGCCTGTCTGTCCCACATTGTCCCATGCCAGGGGGGGTTGGAGATGTGTTTCTTGACTGAAACTTGCCTGGAAGCACAAGTGTATGCAGAGGGAGTGGAAGGAATTGCTGGTGCTGGTGGATTTTCCGGGTGTTCGTGGTTGTTGGACTTGAGGAAAGGCTTCTGTGGTCGATGGTTTCTGCAGTGGTTCCGTGTTTGATCCTTGCTGGGATCAGTGGAGCTGGGGAGGCCATGGAGAGGAGGCAGCTGAGTGTCCCAGTGGGTGCTGCTGGGTCTGGACAGGTGCACACAGGGATTTTGGGATGCTGGGCTGTGTCAGGAGGCACTGGCTGCCTCTTCCCTGCGCCGGTCGCTGCCGAGGGGTTTGTCAGCACCCCACTGGGGTCTTTATCCCTCTCCCTTATCCCCCTTAAACATCCCTGGGGATGCTGCCAGCTCAGCTCAACACTGGTAGCTGTTCCTCTGTGGGCAGCTTTGCCCTTGGGGAACTTGGGAGGGAGGGGAAGAAAAAACCCCTGGAGATAAGACTGAAAGCTGGAGATGGTAAATCAGGTGGAGGCAGAGGGAAATCTTCACCTGGAGAACTCCCTTTCCCTGGAGCTGGCAGCAAGAGTGGCACAGGCTCACAGGAGCTCTTCCCAGTGCCCCTGCCCAGGATCTCCGTGGCTCCCTGCAAGGATGGCATCATCTTGTCCTCCCCCTCCCCTGGAGCAGGCAGGCTCCCTGGCACAGGCTCCACGCTCTCCTTTTAGATAAATGCTGAGATTTTCCATAAAAGCAGCATCCCCAATGGGTAGGAACAGCTGCTGGAGCTGCTGGAAAGCATGTGGTGGCTTTGTTTTCCATTCCTGCCAAGCAGGACCGCTGGATTCTGGAACTGGTGGCCATAAAGGCATCCCTGTGCCCTGGTATCCCTGTGCCCTGCTCCAGCCTCACCAGCAGCTGGTTTTGGCAGTGCCAGCCTTGTCTCTGGTGCTTCCAGGCAAACCTTTCTGTGCTTCTCTCCAGGACTGGTGTGAACACAGGGGTTCATGCAGCTCCTCCAGGCTGTCTGTGGTGTTTTGGGCTTTGGGAGTGTTTCCTGCTCCTCCAAGCAGGAGCAAAGCCCGGGTGACAGCACTGCTGTCACAGCAGAGCTGGAACTGGGCAGACTGGGGGCGTTGCTGGAAAAAATGGGAGAAAGGAGTAAGTGTGGTGTGAAGCTGGAAGAGCTGCCGAGGCTTTGGGAGAGCTGCTGGCACCTCTCGGTGGCTGCCTTGCAAACGGCACCTTCTGCTCCCGATGTCCTTTTCTCTTTCTGCTTGCAATTTACACCCGAGTTTCACCCCGTTTTCTCTTAACCCTTCATTTCCCAGACCCTGCTGTAGTGTTTGCAGTTTGGGGGCAGGGGTTGTGCTCAGTCAGTGATTAATCAGCCCAACCCTTACAGCTCGTGGGTGAAAAGTGCTGTCATGGCTCAGTCACCTCGTTCCTAAAGAGGGCAGGGTTAGATTGGATTTTAGAGAGAAATTCTTTCTTCTGAGGGTGGGGAGGCCCTGGCACAGGTTGCCCAGAGAAGCTGTGGCTGCCCCTGGATCCCTGGAAGTGTCCAGGTCCAGGTTGGACGGGGCTTGGAGCAACCTGGGCTAGTGGAAGGTGTCCCTGCCCATGGCAGGGGGTGGGACTGGATGGGCTTTACGTTTCCTTCCAACCCAAACCATTCCATAATTCCTGCTGGAGGATCTCTGGGTTCTCAGGGCTGGTTTTGGATCCTTCCAGGCTGACCAGCCCCTTCTGTGTCCAGGCACAAGCTGTGCTCACAAGGACCCCACAAAGACACGACCCAAACCTTCCGTTCCCAGTTCCCTGTCTCATCCCTGGCTCACGGATTGCCAGAGATCCCAGCGAGAAAAGCAGGATCCTCCGGCTTTACCCACCACATTTCTCTAACCTTTTGAAATAAAGGGCTCTTCACAAAGCCTGCAGAGGCTCTGGAGATGCTGGAACAAAAGGACTTTTTTTCCCCCCAGCTGCTCCGTGGAAGCTGAGGAGGCAGAAGCAGCTGGTTCTTTCTCTGTATTTACGACGGCATTAATCACGTTAGATGAAAGGTGGCATCTGCACCATGAAAATACCAATGCAAATTCAGTCAGCTGCAAAGGGAGACAAAATAACTTCATTGCCATCAATTTGTCTGTCACTGTCATCTTGCAGGCAGCCCAGAATCACTCGGGGTAGCTGTGGAGCCGTTTGGAAATATCCACGAGAATTTCAGGCTGGGTAATTTGGGTTCTGTGGGTTTAAGAAATAGCATATAATGTGAGAGACAGAGCTAAGTCTTGACACATCCAGAGGGAAAATTGCTCCGTGGCCACAGCTCTGAGGGGACACAACAGTCCTGATCCCCCTCACACCCATTGATTTGAAGCAGCACTTTAATGGAGCAGCTGAGGGACTCAGTTTTCCCCCTCCATCCCACTTCTCCTTCCCCCTGGGAGTGACAAACCCCCTTAGCACCGGGCTGAGCTGGAGCCAGCTGAGCCAGGCTGGTTCCTTCCAACCTGGAGTCGTGCAGAAGCATTTCAGAACACTCTGATGTGCTCAGAGCCCGAGCACGGGATGGATTTGGGTTCTTGGGGATGTTGCCAGTGGCTGGGAGACGTTTCCAGGGTTGGCTGTGACCTGCCCTCACTGTCAGAGGACCCTGCCTGCTCCTTGTGCTGGATGAAGCAGCACTGACTGGGGAAGCAATGCCTGGGTTGCTCCCCCAGGGGTGAGATCTCAGCAGGAGCCTGAATTCCTTCCATCTCCCCGGTGGGACACAGCCCTGCTCTGTCCAAAGGCTCTTTGGGGCCGTGGCCTTTGCAAATGTTTGCTATGGAGAGAGCTGGGGATGTCCAGCCTGGGGAAGAGAAGGCTCTGGGAAAACCTCAGAGCCCCTTCCAGTACCTAAGGGTGCTCCAAGAGAGGGTTTTGTGAGGGTGGTGTGAGCAGAGCAGTGCAGGTGCAGACCCACAGCTCATGGTCACCCCGGGGTTTGGGTAAAACCCAAAACCTGATGATTAGGAGGCAGAGTGGGATATCACCTTCTAAAACTCCTGGTGCTTTGCATGTACCACCTCAGCCACCTTGTGACTCCCTGGGCTCTGGTGGGGTCCTGCCAATCCCTCTGTGCTTGCAGGATCCTGGGCTCCTCCCTCCCTGTGTCCCGGAGCATCCTGGAGCATCCTGGCTGCTCCAGCCCTGCCTGTGCTCCTCCGTGTTTCTTTGCTGCCCCCGGGTGTGCAGGCTCTGTTCCTGCTCCTCCTGCCTCCTCTGGGAACTGGAGCTGGGATCATTTATGGCTTGAGGGGGGGAACCCACTTGGAGCCCAGAGGGGCTGTGGCTGCCCCATCCCTGGGAGTGTCCAAGGCCAGGTTGGACGGGGCTTGGAGCAACCTGGGCTAGTGGAAGGTGTCCCTGCCCATTGGAATTGGATGCTCTTTAAGGTCCTTTCCAACCCAGACCATTCCAGGATTCTATGATTTTATTCCTGTCAGGGAATGTGAGCAGAACGTGGTGCTGTGCCCGAGGGTGGTGGTTGGGTCTCAGTGTGGGGTTGGACCTTGGCTGTTGGTGCTTCTCCTGCCTGTTTTGGAAGGGTGATGTAGGTTTAATGGAAATTTAGATGGGGCTTAGGACAACCTAATGTCTGCTTTTGAGGTGTTTTCTGGGGGGGCTGAGCTGTCCTTAGGCTGGGACATCCCTCCCTGCTGTGGGACTGCACTTCTCCTGCCCAGCTCCTCGCAAGGATACAAATATTGGAAAGTTCCACGGGGTGGAAATAACAGCTCTGGACAAAACTGCTGCAGGGCCAGCAGAGGAGCAGGACCAGAGCAGGGGTGTGCCCAGGGAGGAGGAGGATGCCCCTGCACACGGGCAGTGCCAAGGGTGGGTGTGTGTCCTGGCAGGGGAAGGTTCCCTCCAGATGGGAGCGGGGAGGCAGGAGCTGCTCCTGGCTGCCTTCCAGGCAGGAAGGTAAAGAGAAGGGCAGCCATGTCTTAAAAAAGCTGTTCTGCCTCCCCCTCCTCGCACACTGAGCTGGGGGGAGGGGGCTCTGCCCGTCCTGTGTGGCTGATTTAACAGGAACCAGATGGGGATGGAGCTGCCGAGGGCAGGACGGGCGGGATTGGAGTGTCCCAGGGCTGCTCCGGGGGTGCAGAGCGGGCAGGGGGGCAGGCAGAGGTACAGGCAGGGGGCACACAGGGCTGTCTGGTGCTGGTCCACTCTGTCAGTGGCTTTCCCAGGGCTGGGTGTAGGAGGAGAGGGGCCGTGACAGGTCCCTGTTGCTGTCTGTGCTCTGTACGTCCTGTGTCGGGTGTTCTCCCTCTCTCCAAGTCCCTGGTGTGTCTTTTAGGGGATGAAGGCAGCACCAATGAGCCCCTCATTCCATGGGCTGGGATGCTGGGCAGCTCTGAGGGGGGGGCCAGGGCTGGCAGGGAGGGGATCCCACGCTGGCACCCCGGGACCTGCAGCTCTGCCCTCCGGCATCCCGGGCGGGAGCTCATCCCTTGGCTGGAAGCACAAGGTTGGAGGGGGACGTGGGGTCCTTGGGCACCTCCTTTTCTCCCCCTTCCCCATCAGAGACTCTTCCTTTGAGAATCAGCACGAGGGGCTGGTTATCCCCCTCCCCATCCCACCCACCATCGAGGGCTTGCCTGGCTGTGGTGACTGGGACTGGGGGGAGCAGGGTGGGATAACGGGGATGCAGGAGCCTGGTTCTGCTTCTTGCCCAACAAATCCCCCATGTGCTGTTTGCTTTCTGCAGGCAGCTTGTGGCCCTGCTGGGTGGGAGCACACAAAGGCCAAAGCCCTTTCCTTACGGAGCGTTGCTGCTTCCTGTGGATTTGTTTCTGTCAGTGAGAAATTCAGCATAAGATGAATTTCCCTGGTGGGGATGGCAGGAACGCCCGAGTGTGCCTGTGTTGTGCTGCAGAGGGAACAGAA